GATTTCTGGCGTCTTTGACACAAAACAGCTTATCGGTTTTTGCCATGAACCAGTTGCCAGTGACAGTAGCGACAATGGTCCAACGTGTGAACCTAAATTTGTGACCTTTGCCCTATAACATTTACGAGTGCGCGACTGGCTACCTCACACGTGTATGTAAGGCATAGTCCAACTCAGCTAATCATGGACTGCACCCTCAAGCCGAATTATCCTTTTAAATTATCCTTAGCTCACCAGGCGTTTAGTTTATTTTAGGCTGCAGCAATCATACGAATGTTACAATCGCTGTCAGGTGAACGTAACTTTCAACGATCTCTCATACAATACCTCAACAAGTACGCTTATGGAAATGCTAAAGGTTCACAATTGTGGAAAATCGTCGAGAAAGTTGGTCATATGGTCTTCAAATATTCCCTTCCCAAGACGCCAGATCAATTGCGTTGTTTTTTCAGCACGCCGTTCTTCCTCATGGGGTCTCAATCGCCAGCTTGGCATCTGCTTACATCACTCAAGTGGGATGTCCGATGATTTACGTGACACTTTCGAACAACGAAATTATCGTGCATAACCAGGTACTGCTATATTGCTTTTTGAGAGCGACGAGAAATTCGAAGGGAGGAATCAACTGTGGTTTTTTTCATAGACTCGGCATTTCTTCGAAGACGGTATGAAGGATGACACTGAGTGGCCAATTCCAGTTCATTACCGTACAGATTCGCAACCTGAGTCCAGACTACATTGGATGAATGTCGACCATAACAAAGGTAAGGGTAATCATACCTCGGCTATATTCGCAGAACATTCAAGTTCGTACCGTGCCTGAGAAATCCCATCGACAGAACCGGAAAGCCTTGAAAGAAGACAAACTAATGCGTTTTTGGCAGTTGAAAGGTATTTAACGAAACTATAAGGATCCCAAGAGAGTTTATGAATATTCACATCGTTCCTCCTATACTGCTTGGAAAAGGTCATTTATGGCTAAGGGCTTTTTACCGCCTAAAACATTTCCTGACCAATAAGAACATTATAAATCTTCAAGGTGTTTATCATCGCAATTCCAGTAACTTGGCCATTAGCTGAACATTCCAAATGGGTCATCGCCAACACTGGCGGGTTCAATGCGGCACTTGCAAAACAAACTGCGTGCCAACCATACGGTGAGTTGCCTTCTGTGCTCCTTCAGCCCCGTCTCCTTCTTTGCTACCTCCTGAAATATCTCCCTTTCTTTTAATTCGGAGAAAAAAATTTGATCTGAAATTCCTCCAGAAATTTATCATTTGAAGATGAGCTCGCTGCTAGCTTCCTTTTGGAATTATCGGGAGCTGGTACAGTGTTTGTGGTGCTGGCCAGGAGGTCTATGTATGTTGGTGACGTAAATAGTCTTCACTACAGCCCGTATGGCAGCGAGAGCGACTCGGCTTTCACCGCGCCACTTCAACTCGAGTCTAGTAACCGATACACGGCGCCTGCAATACCCTTTGTAACCTTGAGAAAGCTGCCAATGGCTCAGTATTTTTCACCTTGTACAGAGCACTATATTCTCAGTGCTGAGGGCTTCGGCGGTTAGCCGGTTCGGGTATGGTTCGTTCTGGTGCTAGACAGGGAACTCATCCATGAGCGTTCTGGTGCTAGACAGGGAACTCATCCATGAGCCTTGTTCGCTGCTGATGATGGGGTGTGTCAGGGGGCTGGTTTTGGCGCAACGCCAGCCTGTTTTCCCACGGTTGTGGTCGCTTATCGGCTTCCACAATTGGTGAAGAACGGGCTGGCGTCCTGCCAAAACCAGCCCTGATTCCAAAAGCGCGATTCACGGTGAACAGTGACATCGAACCATTGGGCCTTGCTCATTGGAGTACAACGCCGTCCGCTTTAGTACGAAGGGCCGATGAGGATGACCGTTTGGTGTTCCCGCCCATACCATGAACGAGAACATGAACATCTACGCGATCACCGAATGACTGTCAGAAATCCCTGAAAAATCCGTAAACCACTCTAAGTCACAAAATACCCCAAGTGGACTAAGCAATTGCAGAGAATTCAATTTTGTTTTCTTTATAAAAAGCTTCGCTCCCATAAAAAGGTCAGAGTACTCTCAGGCAATCTCAACAATTGATCGGTCGATGATTCTTGTCGATGCGTTTGACTTCTCCAAAACCTCTAAGTTAGATATTGGAGTCTACCTGGATTTACTGCTCTATGCAGAAGGTCTGACGTTGATTGTCCTTTCTTATTTCTCCGAAAACCCTTCGAAATAGAATTTAGAGGAAATGGATCGCCTTACGTGGACGTTGATCAGCAAACAAATGCAATATATAGAAGATCTTATCGACGACACATCTTTCGGTCACATTTTCAAGGTGAACTGTTTTGACTCGCTCTGTAGCTATTTGTTTCGGAAAACATTTTCTTGAGAACTTTGTCATCTTTTGAGAGCAGAGCCACTATGGCGGAACACCTTAGACGTGAACAGATGTCAAGAATCCAATATGCTTTTTAAACATCGCTTCACTTTCAGGATCTTCAACGGACGCTGATTCTGAAACCATACGACCGTGTTGGATGGGGTAATGAAGCTGCTAAGACGCCGGCTGACAAGGGCTTACAGGTGTGTCTCAGATATCTGTAGATAGATGCGATCATTTGGGTTGGGTTTTTGAATAAAAGTAAGAACTCACTCAGGTGTTTATTCTGTTTATATTGCTATGCCACTCGAGGTTTTTAGGTGGAAATCTTTATTTTACGGCCTAACGTTTCGACTTGGTCGTCTTCTTCAGAAACGCGTTTCGAGGTTAGGAAATGAACACTACCTTACTAAGCGCCCAACCAACCCTAGCAGTTCCGATGGCGTGTTCGGAACTCAACCCGAAAGCCCACACAACACGAAGAGTGCACTCACCAAGCTTCCACCGTATATCCGCAACACGC